GAGTGTGTGACTCAGCCCCTGCCTTCTGAGGACAAATCCCTTTAGGCCACGTTCACCCCAAACCAGCTCCCAGCCAAACCATGTCTGGATCCCCAGGCCACCACAGCCCCCAACCTGGAAATCTCTGACTTGCAGAACAAGATCTCAACATCTCTCCTCAAACTGGGGACAACCTCACCCTATTCTGAGTAGACTCAGGTTAAAAACACAGAGGCCCCCCACAGCTGAAGTCTTTATAGTCAGCAGCCATAGCATCAGGGATAGGAAAGGCTTCATAGTGCTCTAAGCCTAACTGAATGCTCAGTAACTACCCTAGGAGGCAGGGTCTGACTGGCTGCCTTCACAGTGATCTCCCTGCCTAGGGACCACACTAGGCTGTGCCAGAGCCAATGTTCAGGGCTGTCAAAGGATTTAAGCCAAAAGGTAACCCAACTGTACTAAGACAACTGGATTCTACTACACTGGATAAGAAAAAAAATAGAACTTCTAGGTGGGTATAGATTTAAGCATATTTCCAATCTCTATCTCTGAACAAGAACAGGCAGAAAACAAAGAGTAGAAACAATACACAGGGACCAGTTGGTAAGTAGGGAGTGCAGAAATCAGATTTAACTACTGAATACTTGTGCCTTTATCATATACACCTAACTCATAGCTGAGCTCAAGGGACCTTGAGCCCAAAATTCCTAGTGTGGAAACTGTGAACAGGCTCAGACTGCCTTGGTATAAATTGCCCCATCATTCCCAACTCATAGTCCTAGTCCTAGTCTGGAGTGCCCTACATGGCTGCCACCCCAAGACCATAATACCAGGCATATGACTGTTGATGTCTCATTATAATCATTGTGAAGCACCAAGTTAAGCTTACACAGCAGAGCTGTTACATACATAGCTTCAGAAATTAGAGGAAAATTTTAACACAAGTAATAAAACCAGGACTGAAGAAAGTTGATATTAACTCTGGGTCTCTGAAGGCAGGGAGTACTAGGGAGAGGGAAAGGAAACAGTACATGCACACATGCACGCACACATACACACACACACACACACACACACACACACGTACATGACAGTTTTCCTAAAGGACATAGGCACAGTTTAATTATATTTCCTTTGCCTAAATTGTGAGTTTCAATAGGAGGCACATTCCATCTTCATTATACAGGCATGTGGTTGTAACTGAATCTGAGAAGTTACCAGATGCCTTGGCACATGGAGGACATCTACACAAGAACGTTCAGATGGACTCCCTGACACACCTTGCAAAGATCATCTTCTTCCTGAACTCTAGGTACATCAGGCCATTCCTGAGTGTCTGCACAAGATGTCTACTGTACAATGACCATAGGGGAGAACACAGGACAGTCTTCTGGGATGCTATGGTTCCAAGAAGCTGCAGTTTAAATCCAATCACACATTTGTGTCATGATCCCTGGGGCCCATGGAGCTTCTTTCTACCAGGTTCATCTGAGACCTTACTACAAAAGGAGAGGGCTCATGTGTTTGCTTAAAGTCTGGGACAAATTAAAAGCACAGATCACTTCTACTGACATCAGGTCATATGGGAAAAAATAACCAGGTTTCCTCACAAAAGTGAGCTGGACAGTCATGGAAGGTATTTCTGAATCTCAGTCTGCTAAACAAAAAATATCTCTATGTATACCAACAAATCATAAAAAAAAAAAAAGCAACAGGAGAAAAAAATGGTAAAAATAACTGGTTGTCTAAACCCAAACCTGCAAGACTTAGAAACAGGTGAGTATCTGCTTCCTACAATACCCACATGAGACTCCATCCCACACTGGAAGGTGGTAAGACTCCAAAACTCATCCCAAAAGGAGCAGGGGAGAAAGAGCTTCAAAGTACACTCCGTCCTGTGCAGCCTGTTTGTGTCCACAGTGTACAAATGGGGATAGGGAACTGTGTACTGACAGAAAAATTTCTGAGAGCTAAGAACTCAGCAGAGACCTAGCAAGTGCTTTGTCTTACATCCACAGAAACCATGGTAGGGGTTTAGCTGGCAGTCACCATAAAAGCCAGAGAAACTGGCTCACAAACAAGTGAACTCCTAGAGCCCTGACTACCTACTCTTGCTGTTTGCTGGTCCAGGTACCTACCTTGAGATAAGTCTTTTACTTTTTTTGAACAAATGAAGTTTGTTTTCTCAAAGAAAGAGGCCTCTGAGGTTTAAGCAGTTCAGAACTACTCCCTGCCCACTTGAAGGAACTGTACTATTCCACCATGTCCCAGCTAAGCCCTTAGCCAGCCCTGCCTCCTTCAACCAGTTCAGTCTGATGTGCTGCCCACCTCCCCCACCCCATTTCTCTTCAGATTGCCTGTGCCACAGCCAGTCAAGTCATGCTGAGCTGCTGCCAAATGTGAGCAGAGATAAACATTCTGGGAAAAGAATCACAAGGCTGCTGCTCCTCCCATTGCAGGCAAATACCCAGGTGGCCAGCAAAGGAGGCCTCACTGCCAGGGTCAGCAGAGTAGATCCTGCATGGCCCTGAGAACCTGCAGCAGGGAGAAGTGTTACAAGGAGGCCTACACCACCTAGGGGAACACCTGGGGGAAATCACCTAGTTCCTCCTTGCAGCACTTGCTCCTGGAGGCCTCACACTAAGCTTTACCACCTGTACTGCCTGCCCCAAGTCACACAGGTGGTATACACAGAGACAGGATTCTAACCTAAGCCTTTTGGAAGTCTCTTCCAATGCTCTGACAACCCATGGACAAATCAAATAGTGACCCATCAGTAACCCAGTCTTACAACCTTAATCCCACAAGCTATCACCTGGGAGGATCAAAGCAAAGCATCTGGCCCAGACTTCTGGACACCAGAAAGTAGAGCAAGGCTGGGGAAAGGAACTACAAGTAGTGAAAAGGCCACAACTCTAAACCCCAAAGATGCTTTCTCCCATCAACCTCAAAACCACCCCACATGGGCTTTGGCTGACACCTGTCCAGTTGAACAGATGGGTTCAACTCCCCCAACCCACACACTTCCAGGCAGACTTTCAGCTTTCTCAAGACCCTTCTGGCCAGGAACCTCCACTCTTAAGACTTGCACCCAACCACTCAAACCTAAGTTTGAGCTCAACTAAACTGAAGAAACAACCTCTCCCTACCTTTCTCGGGGTGCCATCTCAGTAGCTGCCTTAAATGTCACAGTTTCATATATGACACATGAAAGCAGCAATGCCAGGCAAGGTCTCAGGCCTCTCAACACGCCCTCTAGAATGTCATCTCTCAAGCAGACAATTTCAGAATCAGTTTAGTAACATCACAAACTGGTGAAAAGTTGGTCACTAGCAGCACAACAGCAGAGCTATGCTCACCACTATGTCTCACATACTTTACCGAGAAAGTCCTATATCCAAACATCAATCTAATGAATTCTGGGGCACTTTAATTTATGAATTAATTTCTCTTTCTTTCTGCACATATCTAAGCAACGGTCAAAAAAAAAGCTTTGTGGTCTGGGAACTCTCTTCCACCTCTTTACTGCTCAGAGCCATTTCCAAGAGTCTGACATAATGGAACTTTAAGGCCTTCAACAAACCATATTACTATATTAATAATATTAGTTGTTGTGTACTGAGTGCTACTACCGTAAGTGCCATATATTTAATGTTCACAATCTCAATTAGTCCTAAAAATAACTCTGTAAGGTATGCATCCACTTCACACATGAAAAACTCTAGCAGTGGGGCAAAGGTAGTACTTCATCATGTAGCACACTACTCCCCACATTAACCATCAAGGCCAAAAGATTTCAATTTTCTGCCTTAACAAAGTCCCCCTCATTACTACAGCTCATGTCTGACCAATTCCAGGAGGTTTCTCCCAAGCTTGATATGAAAACATTGAAGTAATTATTGGAGAAGTTGAGCAACAGCATGTAGGAAGGCTGACTCTGCCAGGGCTCTCAGGCAACGTGACAGAGCAACTGGCAGCATGCCTGCCTGCCAGCCTGCTGGGGCCCCTCACTCAGAAAAACGTTCTCTAAAACCTGGCATTAGAAATGAGCAACCACCTGTCTGGTAACCCAGGAAGCAACCTGTAGCTGCCTCCGGGCTGCCCGCCACATATCAAGAATAGGTCTAGGTTGAGCTTAGCCTCCTGACCTAGGAATGTAAACCCACCTACCAGAAGCTTCCTGCCTAAACTGAAACAGACTGAAAGGGGTTCAAATCATCTGGGCTGGTAGTGCTGGAAGAAGGCAACGCCAGGCTGACTAGTTACCTTTTAGCCCTCCAATCCCCAGAGTACACAAATGGTTGCCCCAGAGAGGGCCCCACTCACTTTGGTTTGGGGAACCTATAGGAGGAAGCGAGGGTGAGGGGCAGGGATCTATCTACACAGAGGAAATGAATGCAACAGCAACAACTGTGAGCTTACCTTCACTAATTAAACACTTTTTACATTGTCGCACTTACTCTTAAACACAATCCTCTAATACATCTTTTATTGTCTCCATTTACCAGAAAGGAAACAGGTTTAAAGAGAAGTTAAGGCCCTTGCCCAGAGGCTCAAGAAAAGTTAACCCCACTCAGGAAAGTGGCACTATGAGAAGACAGGGGTGGATGGGTCAACCCTCATCCCCACTCGGGCCTCTTGACAGTCTCCTAAAGACAGCGGAGGTCCGAGCTGCCTTAAATTGCCCACTAGTTTTAACATAGCAAGACCGCTCCTAAGCAGACCCAAACTTCAAAACTTCCTGGCCCAGAGTAGGGAGGTCTCCAAGGCCTTCTTCTGGTTCCTGGAGCCAAAGAAGACCAGACGGCTTCCCTCTGGGATCGGGGCTCCAGCCTCCAAGACGATACCAGCCGATCTCTCCGGTCTAACCAGCACGGGGCCTCTCTCTGGGATTAAGCACTTCGGTCCGGAACAAGGAGGCTGGCAACTGTGCGGAAGGGCTTGGGGATGTCCCAGCCACTCTCGCCCGGGAAGCACGGGGGGTGTTCCCGTCCTCGGAGGGCGCCAGGGGGAGTCCTTACCAAGCAGCGGGGATTCCTCGGGACAAGCAGGCAGCGACAGTTTGGTGGTGGGAGACACTGGGACCGAAGTCAAGTTGCTCGCGGGGCGGGGATCAGAATCCGCACCAGGACTGGAGCCGCGATCAGGGTGAGGCTGAGCGGAGACGTCCGGAGGTGGCGACAGCCGGGCCCCGGGAGGCTGCCCGCTAGCGGCGGCGCTCGAGCCGACCTGCACCGGCGAGGGGACTCCAACCAGCCGGGGCAGGCGGCTCAGGTCGCGGCCGGCCAGGTAATAGACGAGGGTGACGCCGAGGTGCAGAGCGCAGATGGCCACAAGCAGGCGGCAGGCCCGCTGTAGGGAGGCGCCGGGCATCGCGGCGCTGCCGCCCAGGAGCGGTTCCCGGAACCTCATCTTCCCGCCGCGGCTTTAAGAGGGAGAGAGGCTACCGGCGGGGAAGGCGGCCCGCCCGCAGGCACCCAGCCAGGCGCGGCGGGCCACAGCGACTGGGAGGGCGGGGACGAGGGCGCGAGCGCGCGGAGTCTCCACCACCGGACCGGGGCGCTGAGGAGGACGCCTGAGGCACGGGTGCGGGCGGGGCGGGGCGGCGGTGGGGGCGGGGCCGCCGGCGGGGTTTAGGGAGGCGGGAGGGCAGGGCCTAGTGAGGAGGGCGGGCAGGGCCCGGGGGCGGGGCCGAAGGCGGGACTTAGGGCCTGAGGGGCGGGTCTTGGGCGGGGCCTCGCGAGAGCGGGCTGCGGGGGCGGAACTGCCTGGATGGGCCCCACCCCTCCGCCCTCAGACCCAGGTCGGACTTCCGGCAGGTTCCAGCAGTTTGCTGCCGTGCTCCTTATGAGGTTTCCCCTGGGGATTCAGGTCCTAGCCGAGAGGCGCCTCCCGCTCCAGCGGCTGCCCTTGAGAGGCCCCGCCACTTCATGGGCGATCCCCGTTCTTGGGTGGACGGCTGCGAGCGCGAAACCAGCCTGCCAGGCGGCGGCTGGCGGAGGAGCAGCGCGAAGACCGGTTGCCCAAGAAACGGGCTTTGACGCCGCTGGAGAGAGACTCCGCAGGCTGTTGGAAATCCCCTCTTCCCTGATTGGGTCCCCTGGACCAAGTGAGAAACCTACAAAGAGGAAATGAGACGAGTTGCCGCTCCTCTCCTTCGGGAGCGCGAGTGGCATCCCGGCAGGGAGTCGTGGAAGCCAGCCTGGCTAGTTCAAGCTTAAAATTTGCCTCCTGGTCCAGAGGGCAGTGGCCAGAAACTTCCGTGACTCCCACGTCGTCACCGGCCTCATCGTGCACTGCACTAGAGCCTAGTCCCGTGAAGTAGGAATTACCCTCATTTTACAAATAAAGGATTCAGGCCCCGGGAAGTTAAGAAACATGCCTGAGATCTAACGGCTGAAGAGGGTCGGATTTCTGGCTCTGAAACCCTTGCCTACACAACGCATTTATCCCTTGTTGATTCTCAAGTAAAGAGGAGACTATGTGGGTAAGAGATTTAAGTAATCACTAAACCCATTGAAACTAGCTTTGTCCCAGAGGCCTCAAGCACAGCTGGCTTAGGCAACCAGCTCTGAGAATGTTAGCACCATTTCTTTTGAGACAAGAGTTTCCCTGTGCAGTTCAGACTGGCCTTGAACTCACTTTGTAGCCCAGGCTGATCTCAAACTAATAGTGATCCTCCTGTCCTCTTGCCTCAACCTCCTGAGTGCTAGGATTACAGTGTGCACCACCGTGCCAGGCCTAGCTACTATATTTTGAGTTTACTATATGCCAGTATATGACCTCAAAAACATATTGTTACTGTCTCTATTTCACAGAGAAAACAGGCTGAGGAGTTGACACTTGGTTGTCATCATACAGAGCCTATATTTTTTGCTTAAGGGCTCATACAGAGCCTACTTTTTTTTTTCTTAAAGACTCCGCCAGATTTTCATAGTTTTTTCTTTTTTTCTTATTTATTAGCAATTTTTTCATTAATTTTATTGAGAAACAAATAGCAATGAGACAGTTTCAAAACCGATTAATAGGACACTTTCAATAATACAATGCATATTGTTGTCTTCTTAGAGGTTATTCATAGTACAAGATGCAGACATGATATCCTGTTCAAATACTATTAGTACAAATCTTTCTTGTCATTGAATTAAGAGAAAGTAGCTGTATATCTATCCTAACTATTTTGTATATACAGATACAAAATGGTCCTTCCTTTGTATCCCTTTTTTTGTTTACTTTTGTCAGAGATGGGTATTCCATTGCCATTTAAATATTGTAGGTGCATGAATTGAGCAAAATAATCCAATATAGTCCAGTAATCCATAATAGTAGTGGGTTATCAGTAGGAATGGCAATGTCAGAAGTTGTTGACTTGAGCCCTTTATAGCTCAGCATATTAATATGGCTTTACTTTTCATACTTCATTATACTTTTCTGCTGGATTGTTAAAACCAAGGTAAAGCAAGACCTATATAACAAGAAATGTAACATTTTTTCTGACAAGGTCAGTCAAATCCCCTCAGGATTTAGCCTGAAACCCTGTACCGCAGTTTGTAGATCCTTTGTCAGTTCCTAGTTTTTTTCTGGTACTCTTATACTTCCCTTTACAACTTCACCTCCTCCTCCTCAGTTGTTGGGGAAGGCCGCAGGGCATGCTCCATGTGCTTTTTCTATCTACATTCACTCCCTGGGCTTGCCTAATAAATATCTGCAGGGTGATGGCTCCAGTTGCTGCTTCCAACCCAAGGTTAGGGTCACAGACCTGTCCCAGGATCCTCTGTGGTCAGAAATCAAGGAAAAGAAGCAACACTTGCTAATTCTCTATCCCTCAGGAAGACTGAGAATCTATCAAGACATGAGCAGCAGCTTTACCAGCCCCTGACTCAGAGGTACCTAGAATCCATTTATTTATTTCTTCAGAAAGGTCCAGAAACCTTCAGGACAACATTGTCAAGCTTCCAAAACTGATTTGGTATTAAAGAAAAAATGCCTGGTGCTTAGTTGATCCCTTCCTTGACTTCCACACTCAGATGCCAGTATTTCATATTCAGCATATCCTATCTCCAACAACCTAATCCCTACATTGCAATCTGGTCATACCTCCTTCAGAGAGTGACACCATCGTTCTAGTTCTCCAAGACCAAAACCTGAAAGGTGTCCTTGATGAACTTCTTATTCCTAAATGGCATTTTCTATCCTTTTAGCAAGTCTTGTCAGTACTGCTTGCAAAATACCAGAATTGTGGAGGACTTACCTGGTCCTAGATTTAATTCCCAGCAACACACACACACACACACACACACACACACACACACACCCCTACACCCCTAGAATTCACCACTTGCTAATTCCTCTTTATGAAACAGCCACTGGTTATATGGTTGCTTCTTAATTGCTTACGCTGCTTTCTGCTTGTCCTGTGCCCTCTCCCTCAGCTTTTTCCTGCTTCAGGGCCTTGAAGTTACTTACTATTTACTTAGCCTGAAACTCTTTCCCACATTTTGTTCGGGTTTCTCAAATCTCACTGTATGAGAAAGACCCTGCCAGGCATGCTGGTACACACTTGTAATCCCAGCACTCTGAGAAGCTGAGGCAAGAGGATCCCAAATTCAAGTCTAGCCTGGACAATTTAGCAAAACCCTGTCTCTAAATTTAAAAAATTAAAAAGTCCTGGGGATGTGCAAAGGCCTACATTCTATCCCCAGTAGTTCAAAGAGAAAGAGACCTTCTTGAAGGACCCTAGTTAGAATAGTCTCTATATGGACTTAACTTGCTTTTATTTTTTATTTTTGCTTTTATTGTCTTCAAAGCAGGTATCACCCAACATTATGCACTTATTTTCTTTATTCTTATGTCTCTCATTAGAAGACCAGCTCTATATGGGTAGGAACTTTCTGTCTTGCTCAATGCTATATCCTTAACACATAGAAATGGGCCTGGTGCCTAGTTGATGCTAATAAATATTTGTTAAAATAGTTGGTAAGGGGCTGGTGAGATGGCTCAGTGGTCTAAAGCACCTACTTAGAACAAGCTTAGCAAAGCACAGGGACCACGGATCAATCCCCCAGCACCACATGTCAACCAGCCCCACCCCCTGGTGGGCTGAGCTGACCACACACACACACACACACACACACACACATAAATAAATAAATAAATAAAATAGTTGGTAAGTAAATACATATGTTGTGGGGGGTTGTTTCTTTGGGGTGTTTTTTGGTTGTTTTTGTTGTTTTTAATGCTGCTTGGAATCAAAACCAAGGCCTTGCACATGTTAGTCAAGTGTTCTACCACTGAACTCCATCAAAAGCCCCATGATCAGCTTGGTAGAGGAAGGAAAAAAAGGAGAAATTATTGCTAAGTTATTTTAGGACACAAAATCAGGGGATTTTGTTTTGTTTTGGTTTGGTTTTTGGTGGGGGTTTTTTTGTTTGTTTTGTTTTGTTTTGGGGTTTTTTTTTTTTGTTTTTGTTTTTGCTTTTGCTTTTAAGGAGTTGGTAAAGGTAAAGCTGACTCCAATATAGTAGTTTGTGTCTGTAGGAGAATTTTGTTTGACCAGAATTCCTATGGTGGAAGAATGAGATGGATTAGTCCCTTTGAAAAATGAGGGGAAGAGAAAATGGAGTTGTATCTTCATACAAATGATGGCCAAGAGATAAGACAGGGTCACAGACCTGTCCCAGGATCCTCTGTGGTCAGAAATCAAGGAAAAGAAGCAACACTTGCTAATTCTCTATCCCACAGGAAGACTGAGAGTCTTATCAAGACATGAGCAGCAACTGTACCAGCTCCTAACTCAGAGGTACCTAGATTCCATTTTATTTCTTTCTTCAGAAAGGTCCAGAAACCTTCAGGACAACATTATCAAGCTTCCAAAACTGATTTGGTATTAAAGAAAGAAAGAGACCCAGAAACTTTCTACACTGTCCCAGCTCTTGCCACTCTACCTTGTTGAGTGAAATATTAATCCCATCAGGTGAGACATCTGGAGGCTTTGCAGTGCTACCTAGCTCAAAGCTAGGGTCTGGGCTTGGCAGTTGGCCCATCCAGTGCTCATCCACCCAGATTAAAGCATTCTCTGTTTCCTCTGCAGCTTCCCTCTGACTGCTTAGTGGCCTTTCTTTTGCCCTCTCACAGTACCCTTTTCTGCACATCTCAGTTTGCATTTCCACTCTACCTGTGGTACACTTACAACTGGTGGTCAACGTGTTACACCCAGTGGAACTGAACTAGTGTGGTACTGTGTCAGAGGCCAATCTGAGGGAGGTTGCCAACAGCATAAGAAGCAAAACTAGAGAAGCTGTTGAACAGCTGTTAGAAAAGCTGTTTGGAGAAGCTGTTGGAGCTGTTAGAAACTTCTGGTTCTCAAGTTCTGCTGGGAAGCCTTGTCATGCTGGCTTTCCTGGTGAACTTGGTTGTCCTCATTGCAGGAGGAGCTCAGGACCTCATTATTGCTAAGGTTGGCTGTGGTTCATTTTGGAGGAGCTCTGATCCTCACCTTGAACATCACTTCCTGGCTCCAGAAAGGAAGATGGTACACAGCTCAGTATCCTGGAGAATCTTGTCATGGTTTTCCTAATAGGTG